TTGTACACAGTTGAATATCTTCTTTTAAAGCGTAATGTTGCTCTAGCTGTGCTCACTGTGATCCTGAGCTCCTGTTATGTTTGCTGCAGGAGATCCAGCGGAGGATCACAGTGACCCTCATCCACGAGAAGGGCAGCGAGCTCCATTGGAAAGATGTTCGTGAGCTGTTTGTAGGTGAGCAGCCTACCTTTAGGGTCTACTCGTACTATACCTCTCTGTAGAAAACAAAAACCCAAAGCACAGAAACAATGTTTTATAAATGGTAAATGGCTTGTATTTGTATAGCGCTTTTACTAGTCCCCCCAAAGCGCTTTACACACCCAGTCACCAAGTGTTTCTTCCTGGTCTCAGGTACAGCAGTGATCTCTGCTCCTATTGTCCTGGGGGCTGTTGGTTTCACCTCAGCTGGAATAGCAGTGGAGGAGTGGCAGCAGGTAGTGCGGTGGCTGTTTTGCACTCAGCAGGTCAAAAAAAAAGAAAGAAGACAAATCCCCCGAGTTGGTGAATCATACGTCACACAACTTAAAATGCTTTTCACCATTTTAACTCATAGCTCACCGTTTTAACTCATGAGCTAAAACTCCCTGCTTTTTTTTAAACCTGGTTTTGCTTTTAAAATAATCTAATGATGTTGGAGGGAGGACTCGTTTTAATTAGGATTCATGTGGATCTGCTGGGATAAAAAGACTGGATTAGAGGCCCTCTGTGCCCAAGGAAAGGAAATTGGTCAAAATTTGGAAGAAAAAAAATATTGTTTTCAAAATAAACTGCGTTATTCCTAGACTCTGATAAAGTAGCTTTGCATGATTCAATGTTCAAAATAATCCAACCTTTTTGTTTTAAACCAAGTTTCTTTTGGTTGGCTACCTCCACAAGCAAAACGTTTGAGCAGTCGGTGGGTGGAGCCTCCATATCTGACCATATCTGCTCTATCTGACATCATACCAAGCCATGGCTATTTATACAGACATTTATTTTAAACTTTGGCTATGTTCAGGTGGGGGAACCAGCATTTTGAAAATATATCTGTGATAGAAAACAAGGGAAAGTACAAAAGGTCTCCTGTAATATAGCACTGATTTCCAGGCAGTTGCAAGGGAACCAAGGCCAGGGGCATTTGAGGTGAGGGTAGGAAGAAAGAACAAAAGACAAGCTGTGAAATAAAGAAAGAGTTAATAATTGTGATGACTAAATTCGAAGTGGTGTATAAACAAGAAATGTCCCTTGTTTCTATGGTCTATGGCAGTCGATATATCTGATCCTGAATTAATTTACAAGCTCTCATTTGCATGTCTTACACTTATCCACCTCCACAGAGTGCAAATGTCCAAATGACGTCTGCATTGATACTACACATCAAACAAGGACAACGTTTCACACAATGACGTCAGTGTATACTTAACCAATCCCTGCAAGCAAAAAGCTTCTGATTGTTCCAGACTCTCCATTTTCTCCTGCTCCTGGCTCAGTATCACTTTAATTTAAGTTGAAATCCTTAATAACCTCAGGCACACAGTCTATGATCACAGCAACCCCACCTGTTAAGAATGATTACACAGTATGAAGCCTAACACAAATGAGCATAATAACACACTTTAGCTTAACTGTATAACTACTACTTTATACATTTCACGCTCACATGATAATGTACATGCTGTAGTTTGTTTGTAGTTTGTAGATTATTAAGTAAAAATGTGAGCCCATCTCTCAGCATTATTAACATTTCCCACACTGTACCACGGAAACTTTACCACTGAGTTTGCTGGAATCTTTTATTATTTATTTATTTATTTTCGAGTTTTCTTCACTCACTTTTTAAATACAACCTCTTCCTTAACAGTCCTGAATCCTCCTTCTCTGCGTGTGAAACGAAACCCAAATAACTACACAATTTTCGTTTTCGTTTTCGTTGTCTGACATATTTATCATCAGTTTCAGTTTCGCTTTCCTTACTTTAACTGATCAGCTGACTCGTGTTATTGTTTCCTTTCGTCACGCTGTTCACACCGTATTTAAGTTTTGTTTTCCAGGTAAGTTTCGTTTCTTGTTGACAGACTGCAGAGTGACACAGTGAGGATCAGCTGTTGCTCCTAACCACACGACAACATGTTTTCCTGGGGAGAGGACTGTCAGCGCGGGTTTTACGTGAAAGACGGCTCCGGTACCGACAGCACGACCACTGATGATGGAGTTCATTATTTAAACATCAGCCATCACATCGCGGATCTGTCGGCAGGTCGAAACGTGCTGGCTTTCGTTAAAAGTAACGGAAACGCGTTTTTTATCCAAATAAACGAGAGCGAGGATGGGAGAAGAGCGAGAGGCAGGCAGAGTGAGTATCGGTGTCACTAACAAGTTCACTCTCTGCTACATTTAACCGAACTGTGTCCACTCACACCTGCTGTGTTTGTGGCTTGTGAATCTGCAGAGTTTGTGAAACACAAAGAGAAGATAGAGGCTGTGAGTTGTGGCGATGATGTGGTCGCACTGCTGTCTGAGAGCGGCAAAGTTCTCTGGTTGGACACGAGACACCCACCTTTCACTCCCAGGTAACAGATACAGATTATGCTCCACAGACTGGCATAAAAAGTCATATTATGTATTATTATTATTAGTAGTAGTAGTAGGCAGGTAGGCAGGTAGCACCATTGTTAGTATTCCTAGTCCTAGGACAATGCCTATATTTGGATTTTGTATATATATATATATATATATGGCTTCTTTCAGCTCTGTTCTCTTCTTCTGCTCCATCTTTTTCAGGCCACTCGAAGCTTTTTCTAACATACACGTTTCTCAAGTTGCTTGTGGGAGTCAGCACTCCGTTGCACTCACCAAAGGTACAGTAGAATTCTGCAAGTGCTACAAATGGACAAGTAAAAATGATTAAAACAGACTGAGTCAGCCCATCCAGCTTACATTCAATCACATTTGGTTGCACTTCATAATACACATGTAATTTTATATCATAGTCTGTTTTCATGTAGTTCATGTTACTTTGGCACGTGTGTGTACAGGTATGTATCCCTAATACATGCATGGTATCATAGTTTATCTATCTATCAAACAAACAAGGGATTGAAGTATCAGCTGAACCGTCAGCGTATGTGGTTGGGCAAAAAGATACACTTATAAATTGGGATTGCAGCTGAGATTAATTTTTGTCCTCCATAAACATTATCCTTGATTTTCACACTTGACTCTCCATCAGGAATTTTCACATTATTAACATTGCAATGCATGTCTACATTTCTATATGAAATGGAAATTTCTTGTGCATTATTTTATAGAAATGTAATCAACTTTCTTCAGCGTGACTTATCTTCCTAAAGATTTATCTTTGGGAACTTTGGGATCTGCACCAGGATATAAAATTTTATTATATAAAAATTTTACTGCACACCCTCAGTTTGTGACCATCCAACTGATGGACTTGTCATAACATTGATCACGAACTCATAAACTCCCACAGATGGTCAGCTGTATACGTGGGGTCAGGACTGCAGGGGTCAGCTGGGTCTAGGTACGAGAGAGTCTGTCTGCAGATCACCTCAACATGTGCCATCACTGTCAGCGATCCCCGTGATCCAGGTCGCTGCAGGAGGAGACCAGAGTTT